GATGTTTAGAGTATAAACTATATAAATATTATAAGAAAAAAGATTGAAGAAGGATTTTGGTAGCAAAAGGAGTAATTAGGTCATCAATTTAGATAAATGGAGATGGATGATGAAAATATCCATTCCTATTGGTCAAAAATCATGACCAATGGGCTTTGAGGACGCTGCCTGAGGCCATAATAGGGATTAGGATTAGTTTTTCGGAGCCATTCAAGCTTTGAAGGCTAGGATCAGAAAGTTTAGATTTTTGGCTATGATTTTGGTACAAATTTTGTATGGTTTGAAGTTTATATGAAGAAGATACAAGTGCTCAAAGTTAAGGTGTTGATTTGGGAGCTACTGTCACTCTTTCTAGCGTAACACATGCGTACACACAGTAATTGAGGATCGGCGACCGTGACTGGAGAGAACACTTTTGCGGCTACACTTTTCATATACTACTTACTGGATTCTAAGTTGAAAGTTATTAGATTTTGAAGTTAGCGCATGCAATCTAAGGGTAGTAAGTGACCCGATTTACTAGTGGTTGTGTCTTAAGCTATATTTGAGCAATTTGACAAGGTTTTGGCTCAAAATTTTAGGCAATGTATAATTTCATATTAGTAAACTTTATACATAAGTTTTATAATATTTAAGTATTGGATTCTTGAGATATTAAGAAAAAAGTACATGGATGCTTATAAATTAGGGTTTAGAGCGTCTGCTGGGATTTTTTAGATGCCAAAAGTTTGACAGTGAATTTGTGGTTGGTTTTTTTTTTTTTTTTTTTTTTTTTTTTTTTTTTTTCTTTTTTTTGTAATAAAAGTTAAAAGGGAATTCCCCCTATCTTAAAAATTTGAAACAAACTGAAGGGTTAGATCAAGAGATATGAATTTCTAAAGTTTGAAAAAAAAATATCCTTTGCGGAAAAAATATGTTTTGAGGGGATTTTGTTATATTTTGAGTTTTATGCAAAATAAAGGAGTTTTGGAAGCTAAGATAAGATTAATATAAAGGTTTAAGCTACACTCTCTATAGTTAGATACCTAATGTATTCCCAAATAACAAATCATGCCATACAACAACGATTGTCTAAGAATCTTAATTCTACACCCTTGGATGATAGCTTTATAGATGAACACCTCTTTACTATCTCATCTATCCAAGTTTGGTATTCTTATATCTTTCAATTCCTGACAACCTAAAAATTATCAGAAAACTTATTCAAAAAATGAACGACAAAAGATTAGAGTGAATAGTAGATACTTTGCAGTGATAGGAAATAAGTTGTACCAAAGAGGAATAGATGGAATTCTTCAATATTGTATAACAATTGAAGAAATACCAACTATTCTAAGTGAATGCCATGATAGTGCATGCAGAGATCACTTTTCAGGCACATTAACAGTCCAAAAGGTACTTCGGGCTGATTATTATTAGCCTTGTATGTTTAGAGATATCCATGACTATGTAAAATAATGTAATGCATGTCAATGATATGCCAGAGATGACCTTCATATGAATTTACTTCTTAAAGTGTCATTGCCATTAGTCCCTTTTGAAAAATGGAGAATTGATTATATTAGAGAAATTTATCTCAGTTCTTCTAGTGGTAAAAAATACATCATTATGGCTACCAAATATCTAACCAAATGGGTTGAAGCCAAGGCAGTAACAACAAACAAGACTAAGACTGCAGCTAACTTTTTTTTTGAATAGATTATCACCCGATTTGGTTGTCCTAAGTTATTGATTAGTGCTAGAGGTCGACACTTTTTGAACAAAGTAATGGAAGGAATTACAAAGCAGTGTCGTATTACGTGTTTTTTTACTTAAGAATGTACCGAGTACTTAGCTGTAGAAGGTGAGATTATGTTTCATAAGTTGTCAAGAAAACCTAGTAGGTTTCATCCATGCAAGAAGAATATAATCTAAATTTCAATTCAAAAATGCTTAAAACACTCTTTTTAATAGTCTTCACCATATATAAATTCCAATTACCTTGTTAATTTCATATTTAAGCAATTTAGATTTTTCTTGTAAACGCCAATCCTAATCAGTGAGCTTTAACAAGCTATAACATCCAATCCGACCATCCACTTGATGTAAAATTTTGCATGAAATTTTCAATGCAAGTCTTCTAAATGCTCAAGAATTTTTAGCCCAATCCAACTCTCAAATTGTGAGAAAACCTCCAAAAATTGCACCAATATCACTCGACAGCCAACTTGAAAAGTAAAGCAGAAATCCTAGCAATGATTTCTCTCTTTCTAATCATTAACTTTGTCTCAAAATTGGTGTGTAGCTTGATCTTTAAGTTCTTCAAGACCCTGCCAATTTTCACTTTAATCCAACTAATAGATCTTTAGATATCATAGAAATCCTATCTAACCTCAAATTGCCACCTTCTAAAACCCTCTTGTGCTAAAAATTAGATATCTCTAAACCACGCCATTAGATGATTACAAAATTTTGTACACACTTGGCACATCTAATAATACAAAAAATATCAAATTTTTAACTGTAGTTGTGACACCAATTGCACAAACTAGCCAAAATTACTAGCCCTAATTATATTATATAAAATCCAAATCACTAATACAAACCCTGACTTTGAAAAATAATTTCTAAGTCCTCCAAAATCCTCTCAAAACAATTCTTATATCTTTAGAAAGAACTTCAAGCTACCTCTCAAACCTTAACCTTCGATCTTTGAATGAAACCTTGTTTTGCCTTGGGCCGTCGTTTTAGTGGCCAGAGGTCTGATTTCGACCCTATCTCACAAACAATCGACCTTCGAGTATCAATCTATCCTATCCTAAGGATTTTTTTGTCCAACCCTACTCTCAACTTAATCCTAGTACCAACTTTTTTAATTATTTACCTCTTCTAACCTGATTTCATCAATTTATGGTCTTTCTAAGGTAATAGAAGAGTCTTTACAACCTAGAAGGTAAAATTACTAACTAACCTTCAACCTACTAATTATTAAGATAAGAAAATAACCTAAGAGGTTTTTATAAAAGCCATGTTTAGATACCTCAAATTATAATTAAACTAAGATAATTAGATATTAATTAGAAATTCAATTTTGATTATAATTTTACTATATAGTCATATTACATCATGAGAGAGGTTCAAAATTAACCATCGGAAGACAACATCTTATCACCCTCAAATCAATGGATATATGGAAAGAGTAAATCAAACTCTTGTAAATATCTTTCACAAAATCATGGTGGATTCAAAATGAGATTGGAATATTAATCTCTCCACTGCCTTGTGGGATTATAGAACCACCTTCAAGGTTACCACCCAAGCTAGATCTTTTTCCTTAGTCTATGGATTAGAATCCATCTTACCAATTGAGTTGGAAATTCCATCTTTCAAGATTGTTATCAATGACAGACTCTTTTATAATGAATCCTTAAAAGACCACTTAGAACGGTTAGAATACTTGAATAAAGTATGTAAAATGAGTGCCCAATATATAGAAGGTATTCAAAAAAGATGCAAAATTGCCTTTGATAAAAGACATAAAAATCAAGTTCTTCAACTTGGTATATTGGTCCTACTTCAAGATGCTAGAAAGCTTGACTTTTTGGGCAAGTTTGATGCACTTTGGCTAGGTCCCTATCTGGTCAAGGATGTCTTTCTCAATAATTCTATCTTATTACAAACCTTAAATGGAGAGGACTTCCCAACTTGTACTTCTGGGAACAGATGAAAGGAGTACAAAACTTTATAATTAGAATTTTATCATTGCCTTGCATTAATCAACCATTTTCCAGATTTAAATGTTGGAATTTTTTCATGTGGACATTGTTACATTAATTTTATTGTTAGAGTCTTTTAAGATTAAATTCTTGCATGCAATTTCTAGAATAATAATTAGTTCTAATAAATTTATTTTTTATATTATTTACAATACATTCTGAATATTATCTTTTAAGTTATGTCAATGTTGATTAATAATTGTTTTTTTATTCTAATCCCTCTTATAAGCAAGTTGATAAAAGTTAAGAGCACAAATAGGAGCAAAATGTGATCCTTGTTGCAAAGATTTGAGGTTTATTTATGCTACTTTACTAAAATTTCCCTCTCTCCAAATATTACCATATATAATTTTAAAAATAATTTAGATAAAAAAACCTATTATTCTTTCTCTATTAAAGGTAAAAATTATAAAAGATTACTTTTAAATTAAAGTTTGCTTATAAGTCTTATTTGAGCAATTCTATTATGATATCAAAAAGTACGTAAACTCAAAAAGAACTTGAATTATAATAAAAATCTTTAAAATATTGATCTTTTTTTATAAAACTTTTTAAAAATATTAACCTTTGATTCTTTCATATTTATAGTGACAATACTTTTAAAATTCACTTCTAAAGTTAATCTATTTATACTTGATGTTTTTTACTGCACAACTTCTCAATAGATGGCTTTAGACTTTTCTATATATTGTAGCTACTAAAACAGTATTATGGAAGCTTTTTATGGAAGCTTCCTCTAGAACACAAGGCTTATGGCTCAAGAACTAAGTCATAGATTGCTTCTAACACACCTTTCTAAAAGAAAAAAACTTATAGATTAAAATCTATAAGTATAATTCAGTATTAAAAAAATCAAAAGTTTTAAATCCAACTCTAATATGTGACAAAATTCGATTAGATAATCATTGATATATTAATTTGAATACGAGAGAGAAATGTTGAAGTATGTTCATATTTAATTTGAAAATTTTGTTTATGTTTCGAGTTTTGATTTTATATATTGTTGTAGCTGGTGGCTGTGCCCACTTAATAAAAAGTATGGAAAAAAAAAAAAAAAAACAAAAAAAAAAAAAAAAAAAAAAAAACAAGCACTGTGGATGTGCATTGAAATAATTGAAAAGCTTTCCCAATATTCAGTGATTCAATGATTCAATCAGATAGCTCCAGAAATTTTTTAAGAATAACTTACTAATTATTATGAAAGGAGAATAAACTTTAAAATGCAATAATTTGGATTCAGGGACAAAAACAAGAAAATATATATTTTTTTTAAAATAATACTTGTTTTCTAGTTTATACTACAGAACGCGTTGTTCTACAAGGTATAAAAATCAATTCTTAATGTCTGTGTCTTAAAAAGCCATACTTGGACATCTATAGTTATGATGCCAACAATTTGATTCTCACGTCAATAATGAGCAGAAAATGGGACACAATGTTCTCAAAAGAAGCAGCTGAGACTGATAAAGGAGCACATTTCCAATGCATGAAATTCTACCGATGAAAAACCCAATCATCCCTCCACAGGCAAATTTGGCGGAGAGGGAGAAATTCTCCCTTGTAAGGCACCTTGACTGATTTATTTCAACCAGACCCAATTACCCATTTTACCATTTAACTGGGCCAAAAATTCTCCCCCTAAAGTGACTCAGCAAAGCTGGTCAAAGGAGGGTGCTGGTGCCATTAATGAGGTGTGGGCAGCTGTCAATATAAATCTGAGAGTCAACTTCGTGCATTTTGCTTTTTCCAGTTCTCTACGCCCTGTGCGCTGTGTTCCATGAAGTGCATCGGTGGAGGCTCTTCCTTTCTGACCTACCTTGACTGTGTAAACAATTTCTTAAATCTCTTACTTCTGGACAATAGCCAATAAGTATATAACTAACTCCATCGGTAGATTCGCAATGCACGGTCGCAAAACGTTAGTAGTTGAACAGAGATGCGTTGTAGTAATTGAATGGGACTGGGTGCATAAACTGGTTTAACTAAAGATGATACCGATGGTGGTAATATAGGATGAATCTCATTCCGTGTACCAACAAAGCAACTATATGAAAACGGCTGCTGGCTTAAACCAGACCGCCGAACGATGAGTGATCGTAGCTGTTCAAGTCGTTGAGGAGCAGGATTCCAGCAGATTGCATTCAGGTTTGCATGGTTCGTGTCGACGATCTTCACAGCACTAGCTCAATCGTTGGAATTAGGGGACAGACAAAGACAGTTGCGGTGATGACAAGCAGCGCGGATTGTACACAATGGTTGCAGTGAAGGCGGGCAGCGTAGGTTCCACACAATATCAGTGAGATCAGCAGTTGTCGACTGCAGTGTCGAAGTGACCACATATTACCTAGTGCCTAATTGATGTTTATCCGCAAGGTTCCATGAGTCAAGAAGTTGGTAAAAATTGAAGTGGCTGCGACGATCATTGCTCGAGGATCAAATAAGAAAAGGAAGATCGTCGATGATGCTGGCGCCCCCTTGGCTTTGCTGAATGCGGCAGAAAGATTTCTGGAAAGGAGAAAGTAAAGCACAAGTAGACGTTACATAGTCATTGTAGGCTTCCAGACCTAGCTGATCTAATGAAAGGCTGACGTCGGAGGTGTTGGACAAAGCGGTGTGGCTCTAGTTTAGACGGGAACAGAGTCGCGAAACAATTCATGACACTAGCAAATGCATTTTCTTTTCGTTACTCGTCCTAGTGAAGTTGAGTTTTCCCTCACTCTCATAGAGATGTGCTCCAATGTGCACGCACAACCATCTATCGGAGCTGCAAGACGAGCGACTGCTGACGATCCATGCATCGACACACAAGTTTACAGAAAAAACCTTTGTATCACACAGATGAACGAAACTGTTAGCAACAAAAATAGCCTAAAGAAATTATTAAGAAAAATGGAAGTCAATGTTCCGATGTCTCGTCGACGTTGCAAAGGTCGACCTCCGACTTAACGAACACTGTGGGCTTTACGAGTTCTATCCTCCTGCCTAAATTTGTTTCAGGGATAACCCGAGTAATGTGAGGCTTAGATTGCATTCGTTGTTCTGTACCTTTACACTTATTCCACTCGTACATGACAGAACCGCCAGCTCACAAAGACAGCATCCAAGGAAAACGGTAGTACGCTGGATCCTTACGATAGAACAATCTACAGCTGTATAAAGTCAAGCACATGATGCATGACTTCGATTAGCAATGTGAACCACCGTGACGCATCTACACTCACAGAATTCAGCTTGTCGAAGAACCTGCAAAAGTCGGATTATCTGTTGGACCCTAGCTGAAAGTCAGTGAGAAAATAACCCGCGGCTTCGGACACTTGATGGTCTTGCAACATCCATGGACAAACTTTACGGAATGTAGTTATTCATCGGAAGGCTGTGTGCGAGATCCATGGACGAAAGTTTCACATTTGTGCAAGAAACAGTGTTTGCAATTCGTCGACATTCTATACCTCGAGAAGAATCCCCTAGCTGCCAATCGAAAGACCGGCACTGCAGAAAACTCGTGTAACTAGAACTTACAGCTAATTACAAACGACATCGATGAACGATAACTTACTACAACGAATCAGTAGTGTGACAAGTTTGGCCACCAGACTCAAATTAGGAATCCATAAGAACTGACTCATCGTCTAAACTAGGATTACATATTGAAGCCGTGTTGAGCGATTGACAAAGCTAGACTACTGAGCTGGATTGCAACACATCAATGACAGGGGTATGTACATCTCCCACTAAGGCATCCAACAACAACGCAAATTCACTGCATCTTAAGCCAGAAGTGGAATAGAATGCTGATGTAGTTGGAAGCCTTTGAGGGAGAAAAACAAACACCTGAGTATACTCCCTCTGAGAATCATAAGAAACTTGGCTGTCTCCACCCCTGCGAATAAAAAGACGCACTCTGACCACTTAGTGGAAGCTGTGCCGATCAGCGACAAACTTGACATTAGACAGCGAACTGCGAGGCGTTTTTCAAATGACTTCTGAACACACAAGAATTGGGAAGAATGAGGTGCGGTGATCAGCATGAGACGGTGGTACTTATTTGCAGGCTAAGCAGCCTCACAACAACGCCAGCCGACGAGCACTCAATTCCTGGATCCTGCATGTCAAGTGGTTTAGGATGAATGTCCGTCATCGAAACTGGATCATTCCTAGCACAGCATCACAGTTCAGGCCAAGTCTGGTTTAGTCTCATGGCTCATGTTGATCAATTGTCCCCGAGTTTCGGCACGTCGTGATTATCGATTCACCGTTTCTTAATGTTGGATATCTACTGAACAAATCGATGGTGATGATGTCACTTGCCAAACTAAGGATGATCCAGTCGCTCTTGTCCGGTCTGGCTCAGAACAGTCCATCGCGACTCATGCAAGATGTTTGCCAATCCACACTGTTTTGTCCAGTTTTCGACGTCTTATTGGCAGCTTTCTCTCCTCCAGCTTTTTAACCCACTTCAAAAGGGGGATAAGGTAGTTCGCTGACAAGGTTGGAAGCATAATCATTTGCTGGAAGTGAAGGGTAACAGGTAAATTCGATAGACTCTACATTCTAGACTCGTTTCAACACAGAGCGTTGTGTCCAAAGCAACCCCAGTTGCATATTGAATGAGACGTGTCTGGTGAACAATCCCTGAGCGATCCCAGTTTTTAACAACACAACCAATTTTCCTACGCTCGTCAAAATTTGTGGTGGCAAATATTCTCCAGCGTTCAAAAGGAACTGTAATGATGTCTACGATGGTGTTACGCGTGGTTTGTTAAGAATCTGGACCGACTGTATGGGGCCCACTATATCTGTGATGCATCGGTAGGCTTCTCCCATCTCTATCGCCAGAATTTTTCCGAACTGTGGTCCCGAAATTGTCCTGTATTCCTGACATCGTTCAAGCATTTTTAACCTGTCTGTGCCGTATTAACTTCACAGGCGGTGGGGTCTCGTGCCACGAGGGAAATAGGTTCATGATTAGGTCCTTATGAGTATCTGTATCGGAGATACAGATTCTAACGCATCCCTCCGATGATCATTTCGATCTATTTAACTCATATCTCAGTAGCTGACAACGGCCACTTTACACTGGGTACACGCCACGGAGAAGGCCAACGCTATCTGCTCCCTAAAATTCGGCACGCTAGCATAGGCTAATCTGCAACACACTCGTTCGATTCTCCAGCCTAGCGAAGACTCCGAATTCCGGTGACTCACCATTTCTCTTCCATCCTCAATCCTCGCGAAACTTTTTCTTCACACGATTCTTGCTCTGTCGGTGCTTTGAATACCCTTTTAAGCCTCCAAACCTTTCCGGAAAGTGAACTGACAGGAGTTACACGAGGATTCTAATCTGACTAGGAATTCCTCATGCATTCAAGTGGGCATGCAGATCTACTGTCAAGGAAGTTCATCCTTTCTCAATGCTGGGTTACTTCAGAAAAGTGAAAATTGGAAAAAACAACGCCGTAAAAACCACATTCACAATTTTAAAGTTTAGTTTTTAGAATGATGAACTACACGCGTACAGGGCGTGTTTCAGTAGGACTACGAAGAACGTGAAGATCCTTAATCTAACATTTGATATTGAAGAAATGTCAAAGCGCTTTCGTAACAATAATGCCAATTAATTATGCACGCACTCAAAACTTATCAGCAAAAGAATAACCAACATGAGTTTCATAGCTGTTAGATGATAACTAAAGCACACATTCGTAAGCAATAAACCACACTAACGTGCTTTCGAAATCCAAAGGAGTCTGCGTATTCATTGCTTTACTGATTTCAGGGCGCAAGATGGCAAACATAGCCAAACTAATTTAACCTCCGCTTAGCGTTAATAGTAACCTGACATAAAGATACTAAAACCGCACACAGTCACGATCCAAAATGAAAGTTCAGCGTTATCTCGATCTTGTTTCAGGGTATAGCCAATGTGGCACCGATCGAACCAGGATTCATTGAGAATCCTTTCCCTTCGGCGAGAGCGAACACCAGCGGGCTTGTTAAGATACCCTGGAGCTTTGAGGTCACGGTGCGCGACACGAGTGTGTCCAGGCTGGTCTACCGCCGCCTACTCTGACAGACTCCCCCCCCCCATCGCGGCAGGTACAACTCCGTGGCGCCGACCCGTCCGTCGCCGCCCCACCTCCATGCTTCATAATCTACCCTCACAACTAATGCGCTTCTTCTGCTGCCACCACTGCCCCTGCAACTATCACGACGAGAGCGCGCGCATCCGGTCGCCACCATCGCCAGAGATTAGCTCTCCTTGCCAGGATTCGAACCCATGACTCCTTACCATGCAAGATCTATTGACATTGCAATGGTTGTAAGTAATGTAATCAGAATTCTTTAAAAAATACAATACAATGACGGCTAGAGTATTTGATAATTCAGGAACCGTTACTATATGATTATTTTATAGGGTTGGTATACACTTTGAAAATATGGTTGCTGACAGAGCTCGTGTGTTTTAGACAGCTTTTAAAAAATGCAGTGATTAACTTTACAATCAATATTTTATAAAACAGCATGCATGAAAAAAGACCTGAGCCCATGCTGGTACAGACAGCAATACGTTTGACCGTGTATATCAGTTGACCATGCGCCTTTAAAATACGTACTGAGGCAACACACTTTCCGTGCGGCTTCCGAGAAGTATGCTGTGGGTCTACATTCGGAATGGAGGATGGTGGTGGGGCCGGTTGAAGATGGCGCGGAGCGCGGGTCCCGGGCCACCACCGACATTGCGATAGCGCTCAGTGAGATTGGTACTCGGTGACCGGGCCCACAATGGACCCGGGACGACTGACCCATCACAATGGGACACCAGTTTCCCTGTTGTCTCCTTCAACTGTATCGAATTCCATCCTCCGGGACTGAAATCCTATCTTTCCTTTCACGCTCATTTTAAAGACCTCTATGCTAACTTCAGAAGGTCATTCATGGTTTCGAGGCGAACTGCTGCTTGGTAGATCACTGTAACTAGCAGACTCGAATCAATCAAGAGGAGTTTGTGTGAAGAGATCAGGGAATCTAGTACCAACGGGAGTCCAATCAGAACGACGTCAGTTTCAGTATCCATTTGTCATGAAGGAGGACGGTTAGTTCCGGGTCGGACCCATGAACCTTAGATTCGTGGAGCTGACGTAGAATCTTTTGGGGTAAATTAATGAGGTAATCAAAGTAAAATTACGATGACCTCGTGGGTTTTGTGAGTGGGTATTGCGGTTTGTCCTGAGTGTTAATATTGGATCGGAGCACGTGCACAATGAGGGATGGCTGCATGGCATGAAGTTGCACGAGAATAAAATTCTAGGGAGATCACGAAAGGGGTTTAATCAAGAACCAGCGTGCCGCCCTCCCCCCACACAAGATCCTGGAGTTGAAATAAGCATGGACCATGTTTCATGTGTTGCTATGGGTAGCTGCCAAGTGTAGGTTCCTCATTTTATTTTTACCTGCAAGTGAAGCTTTGTGTAGGGTGGCAGTACATGACAGTTGGGATGACATGCATTGGTAACCTCATAAATGATGAGTTAACGAGGCTCAAACTCCAATCGCATGCATTCATATGCGTGAGTGTATATGTATTTACACAATTAAAAACACAATACGAGATATATATAGTCGTTATTAGCTATTAAGCTCCCTCGTATTTCAGTTGTAGCTGCACCTTACGCAGTATTCTATAACAACTAAATTACAACCTCTGCAACAAAGCAGCCTGTAAAGATCAATCTGCGGGGATAGAGTTATCTGATATAATCTAGTATTTTCAGGTTCAAACAATATTACTACACAAATTAGCAAACCTACCGACATTTTCTCAAACCATTTTGAAAAACCTCCAGACTACTGTCAACCACTACCTCATGAACAATTCTATTAAAAAAGTTTGGCTCACATTCTTCTCTTAATTCCACAACAAGATTTAAAGTATTACAACCATATTCTTCAACTCTTGGTTTATTATTGTATTCAAACTATATTGTCTTAGAATTATGATCATTATTGTTATTATTAAAATTATTATTATTCTAACGGCATAATATTCTTACTTTCTTCTTCAGCCCCATTCATTGTAAAATTAAAAAATTCATCCTAAATGTTTATTGTAGAAATTAATTCTACTTTACATTTTTAACCATATAATTCTTGTTTATCATTCATTTTTATCATCCAATAGCAACCCCAATACATGTTTGTGAATCTTATCAAATGAATTAAATATTTAGATGTGTAATGTTTTTCACAGAAAACAGGTGGTATTATATGTCTATTCTACAAAAATCGATACACAGCCAAAAGCTACAGATATTATACAAAGCTGAGCAGAATATGTATTTTTTAATCTTTTAATTTTAATTTTAATCTTTTTAAATCATGGTTTGAAATCTGAGATTTATATTAAAATATAAAGTATAGAAAAAATTGGTGTTTAAATGGTGATGCCTGAAATTCCATCTCTTGATTTTTAAATAATTTATTTTAGATCTTTAATAATAGTATAATTAAAAAATTCTCTAAATTATTCCAAACCAAAAAATTTATAATACTAGTATAATATATACTTATTTTTTGGCTTGCATCTTTATTACTTTTTATTTTCATTAAAAAATAATTTTATTGATTTTTTCTATAAATAATTTATTACATTACTTCTTCACCAATAATATTACAGTTTTTTTTTTTTTTTTTTTTTTTTTTTTTTTTTTAATTCTTTTCTACAATTATCTTATGCTTTATTTTTTTTTCTAAAAAAACATTTTAATTTTGGCCTCAAAAAAGGTAGCTTATGCCATATTTATCACATTTAAATAAATTGTGGTATACCAACTTATTATATTCATGGCCTATATAAAATTAATGTCAAATATACATACTACTTGCTTTAAAAAAATCCCTTAAAGTATAGGTTGTTCAAGAATTGGAAAATAAAATACTATTTTTAATTTTAAAATGGTAAAATCTCATTCCACCTACATAATATTTACAAAATTGCATGCCAAATAATCTAAAAATTATGAAGGTAAAGAAAATAACTTTCAACATAAATTTTAAAAATAGTCACATAATGATAATTACTGATAGAATGCTTTATTATTAATTTACTGCTAAAAGCATACAAAAATGCTTTATTATAGCTTTTGTGATTTCTCGTTTTACTTATTCCAGGAGAAACTTCCTAGAATAAACCCATATAGGGGAATTCGAACACGGGGAGTGACTAGTTGCTTGAGCGTTCACGTTAGGGTCACACAATTAATTACCTCCAATGTATCGTCACTATTTCCATTGTCTAAGCACATAGGAAAACAATAATCCCTCCTTTCACCTTATCACTCTCTTCCTTGCAACAATTCAGTCATACCA